CATTGGAGTTATCGAAGAAATGAAAACGGATATGGCTTCTGCGGCCCGAAATGTGCAAGAAAATGTATTAAGTGAAATTTCGAAAATTTTGTTGAAAATTGGTTGAAAATTGAGGTCATTTTGCATATTTTTGAACATTTCAAAGGACGATTCTGGGAAAACCATTGGAGTTAGCGAAGAAATGAAAACGGATATGGCTTCTGCGGCCCGAAATGTGCAAGAAAATGTATTAAGTGAAATTTCGAAAATTTTGTTAAAAATTGGTTGAAAATTAAGGTCATTTTGCATATTTTTGAATATTTCAAAGGACGATTCTGGGAAAACCATTGGAGTTATCGAAGAAATGAAAACGGATATGGCTTCTGCGGCCCGAAATGTGCAAGAAAATGTATTAAGTGAAATTTCGAAAATTTTGTTGAAAATTGGTTGAAAATTGAGGTCATTTTGCATATTTTTGAATATTTCAAAGGACGATTCTGGGAAAACCATTGGAGTTATCGAAGAAATGAAAACGGATATGACTTCTGCGGCCCGAAATGTGCAAGAAAATGTATTAAGTGAAATTTCGAAAATTTTGTTGAAAATTGGTTGAAAATTGAGGTCATTTTGCATATTTTTGAACATTTCAAAGGACGATTCTGGGAAAACCATTGGAGTTATCGAAGAAATGAAAACGGATATGGCTTCTGCGGCCCGAAATGTGCAAGAAAATGTATTAAGTGAAATTTCGAAAATTTTGTTGAAAATTGGTTGAAAATTGAGGTCATTTTGCATATTTTTGAACATTTCAAAGGACGATTCTGGGAAAACCATTGGAGTTATCGAAGAAATGAAAACGGATATGGCTTCTGCGGCCCGAAATGTGCAAGAAAATGTATTAAGTGAAATTTCGAAAATTTTGTTGAAAATTGGTTGAAAATTGAGGTCATTTTGCATATTTTTGAACATTTCAAAGGACGATTCTGGGAAAACCATTGGAGTTATCGAAGAAATGAAAACGGATATGGCTTCTGCGGCCCGAAATGTGCAAGAAAATGTATTAAGTGAAATTTCGAAAATTTTGTTGAAAATTCGTTGAAAATTGAGGTCATTTTGCATATTTTTGAACATTTCAAAGCACGATTCTGGGAAAACCATTGGAGTTATCGAAGAAATGAAAACGGATATGGCTTCTGCGGCCCGAAATGTGCAAGAAAATGTATTAAGTGAAATTTCGAAAATTTTGTTGAAAATTGGTTGAAAATTGAGGTCATTTTGCATATTTTTGAATAATTCAAAGGACGATTCTGGGAAAACCATTGGAGTTATCGAAGAAATGAAAACGGATATGGCTTCTGCGGCCCGAAATGTGCAAGAAAATGTATTAGGTGAAATTTCGAAAATTTTGTTGAAAATTGGTTGAAAATTGAGGTCATTTTGCATATTTTTGAATATTTCAAAGGACGATTCTGGGAAAACCATTGGAGTTATCGAAGAAATGAAAACGGATATGGCTTCTGCGGCCCGAAATGTGCAAGAAAATGTATTAAGTGAAATTTCGAAAATTTTGTTGAAAATTGGTTGAAAATTGAGGTCATTTTGCATATTTTTGAACATTTCAAAGGACGATCCTGGGAAAACCATTGGAGTTATCGAAGAAATGAAAACGGATATGGCTTCTGCGGCCCGAAATGTGCAAGAAAATGTATTAAGTGAAATTTCGAAAATTTTGTTGAAAATTGGTTGAAAATTGAGGTCATTTTGCATATTTTTGTATATTTCAAAGGACGATTCTGGGAAAACCATTGGAGTTATCGACGAAATGAAAACGGATATGGCTTCTGCGGCCCGAAATGTGCAAGAAAATGTATTAAGTGAAATTTCGAAAATTTTGTTGAAAATTGGTTGAAAATTGAGGTCATTTTGCATATTTTTGAACATTTCAAAGGACGATTCTGGGAAAACCATTGGAGTTATCGAAGAAATGAAAAGGGATATGCGGCCCGAAATGTGCAAGAAAATGTTTTAAGTGAAATTTCGGAAATTTTGTTAAAAATTGGTTGAAAATTAAGGTCATTTTGCATATTTTTGAATATTTCAAAGGACGATTCTGGGAAAACCATTGGAGTTATCGAAGAAATGAAAACGGATATGGCTTCTGCGGCCCGAAATGTGCAAGAAAATGTATTAAGTGAAATTTCGAAAATTTTGTTGAAAATTGGTTGAAAATTGAGGTCATTTTGCATATTTTTGAACATTTCAAAGGACGATTCTGGGAAAACCATTGGAGTTATCGAAGAAATGAAAAGGGATATGCGGCCCGAAATGTGCAAGAAAATGTTTTAAGTGAAATTTCGGAAATTTTGTTGAAAATTGGTTGAAAATTGAGGTCATTTTGCATATTTTTGAATATTTCAAAGGACGATTCTGGGAAAACCATTGGAGTTATCGAAGAAATGAAAACGGATATGGCTTCTGCCGCCCGAAATGTGCAAGAAAATGTATTAAGTGAAATTTCGAAAATTTTGTTGAAAATTGGTTGAAAATTGAGCTCATTTTGCATATTTTTGAACATTTCAAAGGACGATTCTGGGAAAACCATTGGAGTTATCGAAGAAATGAAAACGGATATGGCTTCTGCGGCCCGAAATGTGCAAGAAAATGTATTAAGTGAATTTTCGAAAATTTTGTTGAAAATTGGTTGAAAATTGAGGTCATTTTGCATATTTTTGAACATTTCAAAGGACGAATCTTGGAAAACCATTGGAGTTATCGAAGAAATGAAAACGGATATGGCTTCTGCGGCCCGAAATGTGCAAGAAAATGTATTAAGTGAAATTTCGAAAATTTTGTTGAAAATTGGTTGAAAATTGAGCTCATTTTGCATATTTTTGAACATTTCAAAGGACGATTCTGGGAAAACCATTGGAGTTATCGAAGAAATGAAAACGGATATGGCTTCTGCCGCCCGAAATGTGCAAGAAAATGTATTAAGTGAAATTTCGAAAATTTTGTTGAAAATTGGTTGAAAATTGAGCTCATTTTGCATATTTTTGAACATTTCAAAGGACGATTCTGGGAAAACCATTGGAGTTATCGAAGAAATGAAAACGGATATGGCTTCTGCGGCCCGAAATGTGCAAGAAAATGTATTAAGTGAATTTTCGAAAATTTTGTTGAAAATTGGTTGAAAATTGAGGTCATTTTGCATATTTTTGAACATTTCAAAGGACGAATCTTGGAAAACCATTGGAGTTATCGAAGAAATGAAAACGGATATGGCTTCTGCGGCCCGAAATGTGCAAGAAAATGTATTAAGTGAAATTTCGAAAATTTTGTTGAAAATTGGTTGAAAATTGAGGTCATTTTGCATATTCATTATATACATTATTATATATTATATACATCTCAATTGATTAAATATACATATTTAATCAATTGAGATGTACGTCGTTAACGTCGTGCTCTGCGGTTTTCTTTGATTTTTCGTGCTATACGACCGTACGTCAAATTTCTGATTTTTGGTGGATGCCTGTGGGACCGCGCATCGGTGGTTACCCTACTGTTTTGGTGAATTTCGGGTGAGCTCGATCCAGTCTTTTGCTTTGAAATCAATTCTTAATAATTTATTAGCGTATCAGTACAGTGCTTTTTGTATAGATAAGGCCGGCGACCGACCTCCATTTTTGTGGGTGGTCTGCTGACCCTGAAGATCTTCAAAGTTTTTTAGTTGATTTTTGTTAATTTAGTATGGTATCAAGATGGCGATTAAGTGTCAAAAATGTAACAAAACCATAGGGCGCAGTGAGGATTACTTGCTTTGTAGAAAAGAGTGTGCTGCGAATTATCATATAACTTGCCTCGGCATTAGCAAAAAAGTATTTGAGCAGTTGAAAGCAACAAAGCAGATTAATGAATGGGGATGTGGCTTTTGCAGTGCTTCCTCAATTAATACAGAGGTTACTGGGTCAAATAACTTATTGTTTCATTCGTGCATTTTAGAGGAAAATACTTCAAAATTGCCGCCTTTACTTCGTGAAGTTTTTCAAGATTTAGTTGAGTCTCTTTCCCAGCAGCATACTTTGTTAATAGATGAGATTAAAGAATTAAAACATCAAAATACTCAGTTAAGAAACGAAGTGCAACAGTTGAATAAGTTAATTACAGATGGAACGTTTCATTCTAAAAACTCCAACAAAGTACCTGAACCAACTACTGTGCCTACGTTTGCTCAAGTAACGAAAAATAAAAATACAGTTATAGTTAAACCAAAAGATGCGTCCCAAGCCAATTTGAAAAAAACTAAAGCAGATCTTATCACTAAATTCGATCCTAGAAAATGTAACGTCGGAATTTCGGATGTGCGCCCGACGAAGAGCGGTGGTTTATTGCTTAAGTATCATAATCCCTCAGAGTTTAAAAAAGTTGTGCTTGAGAGCGATCTTACAGAATCATATGAAATACATGACTTAAAAACTCCTCTGCCTCGTATCCGTATTTCCGGCCTCTCTGATGACATTGACAAAGAGCTCATAATTCCGTATTTAATTAAGCAAAATGAAAACATCTTTAGTAGTAGTTCGGTGTGCAAATTACTAAAACACTCTCAGACTAAGCGGAAAGAACATATCTTTCAGGCTGTCATACAGGTTGATGTAACGTCATATAATAATGCTTTAAAAGCCGGCCATTGCATAGTAGGTCTGGACAGCTGTACTATCTATGATGCAATAGATGTTCTGCGGTGTTTCAAATGTAATGGTTTTAACCATTCTAGCAGAACCTGTAAAAAACAAACTTCGTGTCCCCGCTGTGCTGGCAGCCATGATCTGAAGCAATGTCAATCTAACACGTTGAAATGTATCAACTGCATGGGCCTGAAGGACAAAAAGTCACTTACGGAAGAACATCTTGCGCACGCTGTGTGGAGCTATGATGAGTGTCGTTGCTACAAAAACATTATTCAAAAACTCAAAAGTGATATGTTTACTGACATTCAGTTGTAGCCATTACTGTCTTTTATGCCCTCCAAACCGCGTAGTAGACGTTCTGAAGCAAAATCGTTAGAAACTGTGTGTTACTACCAAAATGTGCGGGGTCTTAATACCAAACTAAAAGACTTTTCTTTGTCGACCATCACCAGTTTAACTTACGACATTGTTGCCCTCACTGAAACTTGGTTAAATGACTCGGTCTCGGACGCAGAGCTGTTTGACTTGAGTATTTATTCTGTATTTAGATCTGACCGTAATTACTCTGCCACTAATACTAAAAATTGCTTGCAATTAAAAATGCTTTTAAATCTGTGAAAATAAGTACAGTTGACCTCGATGACGCATTGGCAAAAATTCCAAAGGTGGATTTTCTCCTAGTTAAGACCTCAGCAGGTTTTAGAACAATTTTCATTGGTATTGTATATATTCCTCCATCTTGTGATAGTGCGACTTACAATATCTTCTTCGATTCCTTAATGTCACTTCACTGTCTATATGGCAGCAATTTTTTAATTTTTGGAGATTTTAATATCTCGGATCTTGTAATTTGGCTACATTCTGGGCCTAATGCATCTACATTTAAAGATTACAAGTCTTTTATTAATTTCTTTAATTTAGTTCAGTTTAATGAAATAGTCAATAATACGGAAAAAGTCTTAGATTTGGTACTTAGTAATCAGCCTTGTAGTGTCGACAGGGCGCTTGATATTCTGACTAATGAAGATATTTTTCATCCAGCCCTTGAGGTCACGGTGAAATTGTTAAAGCCAGATTGTAACAGCAATAAATTTCCAATCGTCATGTTCCCTAATTACAATTTCAGAAAGGCCAATTTACATGAATTGTACGCTGATCTGGAGTCAGTAGACTGGTCGGTCTTAAATGATACCCCTGATGTTGATCTCGCTGTTGACGCGTTTTATAAAACACTCTATAAAATAATAGACAAACATGTGCCAAAGAAACGATCCCCTCTTGGCTCTTACCCTCCTTGGTTTAATAAAAATATTATTCTTCTTATAAAATATAAATACAAGTTGTGGAAACAGTACAAAAACGTGCCAACGCAGCGATATATGATAAGTTCAGATCTGTAAGAGCCAAAATAAAAACCGAGACGCACAAGGTATACACTGAATATGTGAACAAGTTGAATGCTGAAATTAATTCGAATCCCAAATGTTTCTGGTCTTACTTAAATTCTTTGCGGAACACAACTTCCATTCCTCCTTTGATGAAGTTAGACGATTGGGAAAGTGAGGACCCACAGGCAATTGTCAATAAGTTTGCTACATATTTTTCTACTGCTTTTTCTTTGCCCTCAAATAATAGCGGTATTAATACATATAGATCTCAAAATAACAGCGGTATTAATGCGAATGCTTTGTATATTACTAATAATGTAACCGAAAATGAGGTTCTAAAAGCTATGCTTAAGTTGAAGGCGAGCATGACAGCTGGTCCTGATCTTTTCCCCTCGTTTCTTATTCGTGATTGTAGATTCATTTTTGCAGGCCCATTGAAAGTGATTTTCAATAACATTATAAAATCTTGTATGTTTCCGGAGCAGTGGAAAATCTCTAGAGTTTGCCCAATTTTTAAACAAGGTGACAAATCTGTAATTAGCAAATATAGACCAGTAGCCATAATTAATAACTTTGCTAAGGTTTTTGAGATTATTTTATTTGATAGAGTGTATTCTCATGTCTCAAACAGAATTTCAATCCATCAACATGGTTTCATGGCGGGTAGGTCGACAATAACTAATTTAGCTTGTATCTCTCAGTTCCTTTGTGAAAATATAGATCAGCATAAGCAGGTTGACGTGGCCTACCTGGATTTTTCAAAGGCTTTTGATAGAGTTAATCATAAACTATTGATAATGAAGCTAGAGTACTTTGGTCTCTCAAACGACTTGTTGAAACTCATCTCCTCTTACCTTTGTAACAGATGTCAGTTTGTGCAATACCGAGGATTTCGTTCTGATACGTTCGTTCAGCGTTCGGGAGTGCCTCAAGGGTCAGTCTTGGGCCCATTATTTTTTAACATATTTATAAATGATTGTACCGATTATTTTAATGTTCCATTTTTATTGTACGCTGATGATTTGAAATTATATAATATCATTACAACACCTGAAGATAGTGAAAAACTACAATCAAACATTGCTGTTATTTTAAACTGGTCATTGAATAACAACCTCATTTTAAATACAGATAAATGTTGTGTAGTGAGTTTTACAAGAAAATTGAACAGTTCTGTTTTTGAATATTCAATGGATGGATCAGTTCTAAAGCGCTCTAAAACGATCAAGGACCTGGGTGTCATGTTTGACAGTAAAATGTCTTTCTGTGACCATTACGATAGCATCATAGCGTCATCCTATAAAACATTGGGCTTTGTGTTGCGAAATGGTAAACTTTTTAATTCAAATGAAACATTCTTAATTCTGTTTCAAACTTTTGTTAGATCTCAGCTAGAATATGCAAATTTTATACGGTCTCCAATATATAATATCCATACAACTTCTGTAGAAAAGGTGCAACGTCGATTTGCAAAGTCTCTATTCTTTTTTCGTACTGGTTCATATCCGCCCAGAGGGTATGATCATAGCTTTCTCCTTAAGGATGTTGACCTCCCATCTCTATCCAGCAGGCGAGAATACTTCTCAATCAACTTTCTTCACCAGCTTGTATCAGGAGTTGTTGACTGCAGTGATCTGTTGTCCAAATTGTTCTTTCAGTTCAAATCGTTCAATTTTCGAAATCTGAATGTTTTTCAGCTACAAACACCAAAATCTAACGCACTGCAGATGTCTCCTGTGTATAAGACGATAAAAAATTATTCTCGCATTGAACAAGATGGTCTTGATATATTTTGTTGCAGCAAAGCTGATATCAAAGTGATGACTTTCAGATATGCTTAATTCAAACCGAAGATTATCCTTGTCCTATAATTGGGTTCGCCTGTTGGACATTGTAATTCTTAATAATAATAATAATAATGATGAAAACAGCCATAGCACGTCGCGATTTCATAAGAAATCGTGGCATACAACGTCGATATTATTACGCGGGATTTTGTACTTATGGGTCATGTTGGAAATTAGTAAAAAGTCGATAATTTTAGCCAAGAGCTCGAATTTTCTTGGTTTGAATCTGTACTAAATAAAATCTTATTAAAAACAACGTGGTGTAGTTTGTCCAATAACTTTCAGATGGCGCATTAAATTAATTTTTATACGATTCAAAGAAATCATCTTACCACGTCGATTTTAGAAAAAAAAAAAACTCTCACGGTTGTGAGATTACCTTATGTTCTTATGTATTTTCGCTAATGTCGAAGAAAAAAAAAATGTTTATATAAGTCAAACACCTCATCCCACTTCGTCATAAGACATCGCTAAGCGATCCTGTAAGAGTATGTCTTAAGAACTGATTTACAAAGTACGAGGCTTACTTCCACAAGGAATACTTTTTTACATTGTTGCCCCATATTTTCGTTTATTTCAAAGCCAGTACGTCTATGTAAAACGTGTTGAAAGAGAGCTAACACAATTTGAACCTTCATTGCTTATCGAGGTCTTGCTAACGTAAGATTTACTGAACAAAATCCACAGATGCCGTCGTTTCAATGGATCTATCTAGTGTCCCTAGATTTTAGAATTATTTTAGAAATCTAGAGACCCTAGATCTATCTACTGAATAGTCGTAAAAGATACACCCTAATATAGCATGCGCAGTCACCGTGTGTAAAGTTACCGCGTAATTCAAAAGTCTGACAATGAACGAGACAGGCAGCGTTCTCGGATATAACGTGGCAGATCGTGTAGGTGTGCTGTAGTTGTTTGTTTACGTTCATTATGTCAAAGAAATGCAAGACAAACCGATATGACTCAGTTGCCTCTCGAGGATGCCGATCGCCACCAAGCGTTTTAAATTGCACGATGTTGATTCGCTGTTTTAAAAATTGCGGTAAAAATGTTATACGCAAACCTCTGTCTCTTACTAACATGCAGTAATCCTCGGTCTGTTCGTGTTTACGACTATTCAGTAGATAGGTCCATTAATGTCCTGCAATCCCCAAGCCAATGTTAGTGTCTTCCAAAAATTTCAAAGAAATCCGTTATTAATAATTATTTTCTTAGATAAATTGTAAAACTTAATGATAGAAATTATTTTTTTTTCAAGGAAAACCCATATGCGTAAAGTTACAAAACTAGTGCATTATAAAACCATAGGCAAGGCAGCATATCATGCTGCAAATTACAAGTGGGATTTACTTAACAACATTTTAAGATGACTACGGCTCATGGTTGTGAGATTACTGTATGCACCTCAGCTTATGTAACAGAAAAATATATTTTTTATAAATAAATCAAACACCTCATCGCACTTCGTCATAAGACGTCGCTTAGAGATCCTGTAGGAGTATGTCTTAAGAGCTGATTTACAAACCACGATGCCTACCTCACACGAGCAACACCTTGTTGCATTGTTATCTAATATTTTAGTTTATTTGAAACCCAGTCCGCCTATGCCATTTTGGCATTGAGGCTTAACTGACAAAAGATCTTTCTAGATAACATAAAACAATATTTCTTAAATATATAGGTTAATATATCCAATTGACGGTAGCATCGTTACATATGTATCAGTGTTTAAAAACGCGGAAATTTATAATTACATGATATTGATAATTTAAAGTTAAATTTAAAAAAATTAGTAACAAGTTTTCAAAAATATAAAGTTTTGAAATTTAATTTTGTTTCCTAGGATTAAAGGAACTCCCATGCGTAAATTTTACTATTTGTTAGTTATATGAGGCACGTGGAACAAAAACACGAACAACAGTTAACACATTTATTATACAAACACAAGTAAATATACATTACGGTGAACTTGGACACACGCGCGCGGATAACCGACCAGCCATTAGTGTGACGTTCGTCTTCGTCATGGCTAGGTCATCGCTAGCGCAGTCGCGCAGACTACGGCCGAACACGCGCTCCATCTATGTTTCCAAACGCTTCCCCTCGTGTTCAAGGGTCGCAAGTAACCGCACTTTAGTCCTCTAGCCTAGAACACTCAAACCGCTAGCCCGCACGCACTCGACATGTTTCGCTCTCGGCAGTCCTTTGGTCAGGAAATCCGCCACTTGTTCTTCAGTACACACGTAGTCCAACTTCAACTTAGGGTCTCGCGCAGAATGTGATGACGGATGTCAATATGTTTACTACGCGCGTGGAAAACCGTGTTTTCCGCTAGTTTCAGCGCACTTTTATTGTCGCAACGAACAGTAACGTCAGAAAGAGTCCCGAACGCTAGCTCTTGCAAAAGTCGCTTTAGGTGCATTGCTTCTTTCACGCACTCGGATAGAGGCATGTACTCGGCCTCCATCGAAGAGAGAACCACAGTCCTCTGTTTCTTGGCATCCCACGAGACCGGGCTACTATTCAGAAGAAACACATATCCAGTGAAAGATCTTCTATCGTCGGGACAGTTACACCAATCTGCATCCACCAATCCTGTTAACGGACTCAGTTTCGATCCGAAAGTCAGTCCCAATTTGGAGGTCCCCTTCAGGCAGCGGAGAACTCTTTTCGCAGCTTTCCCGTGTTCCTCCCCAAAACAGTTATTGAACTGACCCAATCTGCTTACCGCAAAAGCAATGTCCGGTCTGGTTGTTGTTGATAAATAGGTCAGTGCACCCACCAATTCTCGGTATGGAAGCTTGAGATCTTCTTCGCTTTGATTGTCTTTCTTAAAAAGCTTTGAGCCTATGTCGACGGGTGTGGCAACAGGCTTACATTCGGACATGCCAAACCTGTTCGGGATGTTGTCAAGGTGACATTTCTGAGTTATTACCACCCAACCTCCTCTCTGCTCGAATTCGACTCCCAGGCAATATTTGGCGTCGCCTAAGTCCACGATGTCGAACTCTTTTGTGAGAGCTCTATTTATGTCGCCAATCGTGCGTTGGTGTTTTGATGCGATTAAGATGTCGTCCACGTACACCCCAATCACGACTAAATCTTCCCCTTTACCGATATGATACAACAGGGATCTGAAACTGTCGGTCGTGCGCCCAAATTTCGCAACACCTCGTCCAATCTGCGGTTCCAACTTCTTCCTGCTTGACGTAATCCGTATAAGGCCTTCTTCAGGAGACAGACCTTGTTCCCCTTACGGTATGTCTTTAGCATCCTGTCGGCCTTTTGTTTAACCGCACTATCGCAATCGGACTCCAGGATGTCAGCTAATATGCCTTCGAAATTCTTGGGCACCTCCATGTACACCGCCTCCTCAAGTTCACCATTTAGGTACGCAGTAGCAACGTCGAATTGCCTGATACGCATTCCGTAACGAGCCGCTAAGGAGGCCATGACCCTGATTGATGAGAAACGGGCAACCGGGGCAAATGTTTGGGTAAAGTGGACACCAGGGCGTTGGCTAAAGCCCTGTGCTACCAGGCGAGCTTTTCTTCTCTCGAGTGTCCCATCTGATTTCAACTTATTTCGTAGGACGAGTCGACTGCCGATGGTTTCCTGTCCTCGGGGACGACGACGACCACCCAGGTATCATTTATCAGAACGGATGCCATTTCAGACACGATGGCGTCGCGCCATTCATCCGCGTCTGCACCGTTCAAAACTTCCTTCATCGAAATTTCAGAGAGTAACCCGACTTCGTTCAATTCGATGACATTCGATTCGGGCCTCGGCACTTGATTGAATTCCCTCCTGGGTCGTCCCCTCTCTCTAGTTCTGACGATCTTAGGGCGACCAGGTCCTCGTTGTGTCTGGGGCTGCACCGTCGTCGTCGATCGGGATCGGTTCATCTCGCGTCACTTCCTCGATTTCCGCATTAATGGAGGTGGGCTTTCTAGTATGGGATCTGCGCCTAAATTCTCGTCGACTTCTTCAGGAATCTCTCGCTCCTCGCGAGCAGGAAATCTGATGTCGACAAATTTCTTCGTGTAGTTCATTTCCTCGCAACATCTATCGACTTCAATTTCGCGGGGTTCGTTCGAAGAATCTTCTAAAAACTTCACGTCTCTGCTGATGATGACTTTGTGTTTCTTAAGAGACCAAATGCGATACCCCTTGTGAGAGTCGTCCTATCCGAGAAAAATCCCCTCTTCTCCTCAGGGAGAAAATTTTCTGTTAGCCGGTTCGCGATTCAGGTAATAGACTTTTGACCCAAATACCCTAAAGTTCGAGATGTTCGGCACCTTACCGGTCCACACTTCGAATGGGGTTTTGTCATCTAGATTTTTCGTCGGCAGCCTGTTTCTAACATAGTTCGCGGTGTTAACCGCCTCTGCCCAGAATGAGTCAGGCAACCTGGCATCCAAGAGAAGACATCTTGCCGTTTCCAACAGTGTCCGGTTCTTCCTCTCCGCGACTCCATTCTGTTCCGTGTTGTAAGGAACGGTCAACCTTCTGGTGATGCCTTTGGACTTCAGGTAAGCATCGAAT